ATCTGGTGAAAATTTCATGTCATTAGCACCTCTAGTAATATATTTACTGAGAAAAATGGTGACGTGTTCAATACTTATTTTACCCGCTGTAATTGCATATGATRCAACTTTGCCCAACTCTAACTCAAACCACCTGTTACCTCACCAGTAACGTCAGAAATAAACTCAAAAAGCTGATTATAAACGGTAAGCTATTATTTGTTCAAAACATTTCCACAAAGTCCACCTTTTGTAGATATTTTATGTTTTTCACAGTCACAGTAGTTAATGTCAATGTCAAATTTWTTTATATGGCACATTAAAACAACAAAAGCTGACCAAAGTGCTTCACAGTCCAGTCAAAACATATCAAAAAACAAACAAATAATAAATACAAATACAGAAACACAATATAATATATGAAAAAGCTCTAACTGAACCTCCAACCCRGTCTTATACATAAGCCAAAGACAATAAATGGGTCTTCAGCAAAGATTTAAAAGCCTCAACAGTCTCTGCTGACCGAGTATTAAAAGGCAGACTGCAGTTAATTTTCTGCACTTCTGTAAAAAAAAAAATGAGACAAGGGGTTTGGAATTAATTMTTTCCAAATATATGCAATATACTTTATTAATGCAAACATTCAGCAATGATTCGTATCTATATATTTATTTTAGTCACATCAAAACTGTCGAAACATCCTCATGCTTATACGCTCACTTATCACCCAGGTTAATGTAATTTGATTGTGAATACTGAGGTGTTTGTTGTTTATTTAAAAAAAAAATAAAATGAAAATCTAGCTGCACACGGAAGATCTGCAGTGATTTCCACAAACTTTCTGCTGCCTTTCTCAGTTTGAACATTGATTTTTAAATATTATTTACGACCTAACTCCCTCATATCAAGAGTGTTTCATCTGAAAAGTTTTGCTCGTGATAATCTGCGCCTCTGAATTGGATATATGATGTTGAAGAATGCATTTTCCCTCTAATTGAATAAAGCTCCACATGGAATATTTGTATTGCAGCATGATTGGATTCTGTGGGGATGATTGCCTTGATTCGATTTGTGCACGGGGTCGCCCAGACGGCTCTGCGTGCAGCGGCTCACATGGATGGTGAATGAATCGCTAAGTGAGTGAAAGAGAGGAGAAAAAAAAAACACTTGCTTTTGCCAAGTGTCTTCAAAAACACGTGCAGCTCTGAGGCATCTGAAGGGGAGTGCGAGGCTTTAATGTGTGTGTGTGTGTGTGGATGGCAGCCCAGCTCTTTTCCCTCCTCAGTGCTGCATGGATTTGCATCTCATTGACAAAGTTTATCAGCAGAAGAAGCCACTCTTTTAAGTAGCACCAATAAAGCCAATTCAAAACAATTATTTTCCTAATTCTTCTTACTGCAAAGAGACAAACCAAGGAGGAACAATAAAAAAGAAGCCTTCTTTTTAATGATTTCACTGATTGGTGTCTTATAAGGAGGCATATGTTTTGAAAAAGTGATAGAGATACAAACAAAAGGTTTGCAGCATATGGGAGCAACACTGAAACCAATTTTAGCAAAAAAACACTGCATCTGTGAAAGGTCCCATGCAGTTAGCTGTTGCCAGAGTTGGACAGATTAGCGGATCCCATCGGTCCCGATGATTGATGAGCAGCATTAACCTTGCACAGTCCAGACAAACAGCACACACACATAACTAGATGTGTGCACAGATGTACACTGTCATGGTAAATACAACCTCTTTTAATTCACAGGTCAGGGCTTCATAATAAGAAAACTTATCTGGTCCTTGACAGCTTTTAATACAGTTCAAGGGGAGCAGAAYTCATGACGTATTCATCCATCCATCCATTTTCTATATCCGGTTTGTCCTGTTCAGGGTCGCGGTGGAGCCTCCCCCAGCTGACAWGAGGTGAGAAAATATTACGTTTGGTCAGTATTTATTTGGCAAATCTACATCAAAATGCAGAAGGTGAAAAAAAAACCTAGAGCACTTCATAATTGAATAGCTTGTTAACTCACATTTCACAGCAAAACCTCAATGTAATCATGTTCTGTGTGACCTTTTCAGTCATAGAGGAGGAGTTTGGCCCACATTTCTGTGCAATACTGTTTCTGTGCAGTATTATAAATATTCATTTATGCACAATTCTGTTAGTTTAACCTCAGCACTTCAATTAGATTCAGATCTGAACATTGGCTGGTCCATCATAAAACCTTGTGTTTGTCTTTYYTTTTTTTCTTTAGATTTGCTGCTGGGTTTGGAATTATAAATGTTTTATAACCCAGTGTTGAACAAACCTTTAGCTGTCAGGTGATTCTGTCTAACTCTTGAAAACTTGGGTACACAGTCGAGTCCATCGGTCCACTCAGAAAAAAGCAATGTGTCCAGGTCCTATTACTGCATCTCAAGCCAAAATTATCAACCCTCCACCACCGTGCTTTAAAGTGGATATGTGGTGTTTGAGGGAATCTGCTGCATTATTGCTGAAATCCKTCACTTTAACCTACATCTTTTAGTTTGTGCAGGGGCACATTTGCAAACTTAAATCATGCTGCACAAAATGTTTTTCTATCATCACTTTAGAACATTATTCTGTCATGAAATTAACTTTAACATTGCTGAGTGAAAATTTTCAGTTTCAGATTAAGGTTCTGAGGTTTTTGGTGAATTATCAGCTTTTGCTTCTTGGTTTGTGTATAAAATCTATTAGAAAAATAGATTCATCTATATATATA